TTCTCTATCTCTTCAGACATTTCATGAAAGAATTAATCTTTTTGCTCTTCTGTATAGTTTTCATTGCATGGTGCATATATCTGTATGTACGTTTCTGTTTGTTCTTTTAGGTTAATTGTCAACTTAATAATTCTGTCTGAGTGATAACTGATGTCTATAAGTTAGTTAGCTATGTCTGGATGCACCAGGAAACCCACTTGATTCTTTGATGTTATTCCTCCTGAGTATGTTAATAGAAAGTCTCTGTGTACTTTCTTGTTTCCAATTCCCTTGCGTCTTATATCAGCTAGCCCCATTAACTTGATTTTTATTGTGTCCATTATTTCATTAATCTATTCTGTTTTTTTTCCCAGGCCTGTGATGTTAAGTGTTGCATTTCGCTTGTCTGTCTTGTAGTCCTTTAACATTGCCATGGTCAAATGCCATTTGATCAGTCCGTTTATATCTCACTGTATCTGTTGTAGCAGTACTAAATCCATTGCTGGTTTGCACTAGAGCCCCATTTGCCAGGATGTTTTGGGGTGACCCTGGATGGCCTTCATGGCTACCATAGCGGCCCCGTGGCACAAGGCCACACTATACTTTGCCTAAACCTAGCAATCCGATACTAAGGTATCTATCTAGCCAAAATAAAATTCATTTGATATAGAGATGGTTCTTTTTGTACCTGTGTGTGTCTGGGATTCCTTATGTGTTGAATAACATGTTTTTTCTTTCAAATATTTTTTATGAATTGTATCTGTTCATCATTCTTCTGTAAAACATTATCTCTGTAGCTTCCTCATATTTTGTCACCAATCTGCTGACATTGCTTTATAGCTCTCACCGCAGTAACAAAAATACTTCTATAAGTATTCTTCAGCCTATGAAATGCTGGTTTCACTTAAACTTTCTTTAGCTTCTTCCACCTGCTATTATGAAGGTTAAAAAATATTTCACTTCAATATATCAACTTGTTTCAAAGTAGTCCCATTTACTTTGATTTTGCATTCTGGGGGGAAATGTTATCTTTGTAATTACAAATAATTTTTTTGGTGATTTTCAAACTAAAAGCTGTGTTTTTACTTTCTGTTGTAAATTTATCCATCATTTTCTTATAACTGCAAAGTATTTTCAGCAATTTAAACAATATCATGAGCATATCATTATTTGTTTATGATCAGCTGATATACATGGTGCTTATAGCACTAGTGATAAGTACTTTACTTGTGGCTGTGCAATGTGAGCCTTAACAGCTGAATTCAGAAAGAAGGTAAAAGCATTGGAAATGAGATCTTTTAGACAATCTTTGGACATAACATGCAGACAGTCATCACAAATGATGAGATTTGCAATATAATTACTCATCATGTTGGCAACTGTGAACCTGTTTTAGCTACAGTGAAAAGACAAAAAATTCAATGGTACGGAGATGCAATAAAATATAACAGCCTCTGAAAAACAATACTACAGGGCTCATTATAGGGAAAGGGGAGAAAAAGCAGACCAAGAAAGACCTGGATACAGAACATGACTGACTGGACAGGCCTTAGGCATGCAACCATGAAGTTCATTGCATCTGACCATTAAAGGTGTCGGGAGCTGATCAGACAGTCAGCAGCAACTGGTGACCCAACAAAACAAGTTGTTACGGGACAATGATGATACACATGGTATATCTTGCATGGATTATTATAAAGCACATTTTTTTTAATGAGAGAATCATCACATTGTTTTTGTGAGAGAATTCTTCACATAAGTGGAATTTAATTTGGGAATATTAGGCTATTGGGTCCGTAATACACATGAACAGGTTTTGCACCGAGGTCTAACAAAAGAAAAAGTATTTTAACCTGCCCAGTAGGAGTTAATTGTCCCTCGAAGTCGGAGCACATCTGCCGGTGAGACAGGAAACGGCAAACAAATAAGCCAGTAAAATGGATTTACATGCAAAACTCAGGTCCAGGTAAAAACCAAAAGTCCAAATGGATGAACTACTGGGATCTTCCGCCGGAATTCACAGCCGGTGAACGAAGAAGAAGAAGGAGTTAATTGGTATATCTTCTTCCTTTGCATTGTAACTGGTGTTTGCATGCTTGTCCTCATTTAGACTTCTGGCCTAAAATGGAAGGTTAGGTATGGCAGAATGTTAAGCTTTAAAGTTTTTGTTGCTTCTGACAGCACTTTGCTAATGCACTTTTCACACATGAACAGTAGTTTACAGTTTTGCTGCCTGAGCTACTCTGTTTAGTGTTTGGTGCAGCCCTGTGAGCTTTTTTTTCTTTTCTTGTGAAATGCCTTTTCTTTGTGCAGCGGTTGTATCGTGGTATTCAATATGGCAGGTAGCTGGTTTACATTTGAGGAGGTGAAATACCTTAAGTAATAATTATGTGTGTCTTTAGTATTTATCGTGCCTGGATACTTCCATCAATGACAAACTGCACTTCTGGTGGCAACTGTTGGGATTTGGCACCTCTAGCAACTGAAATTTGCATTTACTGCATGCTCATATTTCTTGATTGTTCTGGGACTTATTGTTTGTTCACCTGTGAGAGACAGTGAGGAACATTTCATTTGATTTGCACTGACACAGGAACAGAGCAAGTATGGGGAAACCCGATTGCAGTGAAGTTTAAACCTTGACTAAGACTAAGATTAAGACTGTCATCATTTAATACCTATTTCCAACAAGCTGGTCATTGTCTCTGACTCCTGCATCTCAAAGTCTCTAGAATGCAGTGCATTTAGTATCTCTGCCCTGTCAATATGTTTTCTGCCACCAACCACTGACAGTCTGTTAGCTCTTTCATTTCCTTTCAGCCTGGCATATAACGATTTGTAGAGCCAAGATAGTTTCTTGAGGCTAGACTTCTAGATGCTGTCAGCCAATTCTAGTTAGAGTTTGCCAGTTTAGATCTTCCTAACTCTTTGAGTCCCAGAGGATTTAGCATTACAGGCCCAAGAGGTAGCAAGTAAAATTGGCGCATTATGCGTTCATTGGGCTTCTAGGCAATAACCTATGAACGTATGATGCGTTCCTTGGGACTCAAAGAGTTAAGTCTGTAATATATAGTTTTGTATGTGTTAATTAAAGGCTTTATGTTTTATAAATTTTTGTGTGTAAACTAAGAGAATCCATCTTTTTTTGGGGCATAAAACTCCAAAAAAAGGATCCCTTTCCAAAGGGTAGACTAATATTTATGTAGACCAAATGGCCCTTGATGGATGATTTGGTCAACATCACTCTGACTCTGTTAACTTTCCAGGGAATTTCCTGGACCCTTTTTAACCCTACCAGACCTAAGGCCCTGAACCTAACTGTCCCTATAACCTGAGCTCCTGGGCATTACCGCGAAAAAACCAACATAATATACAAAAATATTAGTTTCATGCAAGCGAGTGGCTAGAATATGATGAAACTTGGAGACTTTGTAGAAAATAGGCTTACCTTTTATCTAGCGCCAATATTTCACCTTTGTGTGCGAATTCACTAATCAGGATCAACTTTGTTTCACAAAGTAATCACCAGATGTTGCCGTTTGATGGACACATCCCCTCCTCCTACTATCGATCTATTTCAAGATTGATAATTTTCAAGGTTTTCCTCATCATTCGCGCTCTCACTGACAGTGTCACTTCAAGAACGTATTCTTTATGAAATTATCACAGATAATGAATATATATATATATATCACGGAGTCTGAATAAACCAAAAAGTATCGATCACCTGTTGGACTGTGAAAAGCCTAGAACTTGGTTCATCAGCCGCTCGTTCATTCTGAATTTTCCGAATTTTTTCACGTTAAAACACAAAAAATTGATTCACACACACGGGGAAGCCATTTGCAATGTCTAACAAAGCGGACTGAGGACGATTGGTTGGTTATTTTTAGTCAGTGACGCATCTTTCTCACGCACTATGCAAATAGCCGAAAATTAGGGCCAGCAGTATAGAGAACAGTTATGAAATTCCCGGAAAACCGGGCCAGCGGTCTGGTAGGATTAGGCTGGGTCGACATGGGAGCCAAGGTAATCTCTTAGGGACTTCTGGTGCTTTATGACAGATATGCAGACTGACTATTTAGTCTTGGCAAGCTATTTGCTCCTGGCCATAGCTAGCTGTTTCATTTTGCTGCATATGTGAACTGAAAGTGTACAATTCCATCACCCAGTGGCTGAGCTGAATACACAGTGCAACACTGTAAGCTGTGAATTTCATTTGCAATGCTTTTAGATTGTGCCCAAGTTGGTTTGTAAACTCACATTCAGAAACGGACTAGTATCTCGTTGCCACAGAAATGGTGGTACCTTCCTTATGCAATGTTGCATTTGCAACTGCTGATTTGTTGTATAACTGTTTTTTACGTTGATGGTGAACTACAATTCTAGTGGTGGACTGTATATTTTGGTATTTCTTATGGCTGCCTTATGCATTTATTTGCGTGTGTGTGATGCTAATGGCTTTGCTGAGATTGCTGCCTGTTGAAATTTTTTTCACATGGACAGTGATGGACATTCTGCATTCTTGTTTGCTGGCACAGGAACGGAGCAGTTATGAGGTACTCATTTGCTTTTAATTGAAACTGCAGTTAACTGAATAAAAAAATAAATTTTTAATATAAATCCACCCAGTGCGTTTTCCAACCCAAGATCTTTGGGCTGGTCGGTGAGTATTTAATTAAAGAGTAAGCTACCATAACAAAATGCCAGCCCATTCCAAACACACACAACAGATTGATATAACACCCAGTATAGCTGTTTTCCACAAGCTTATGGTAAAGGAAACTTTATTTTTTATATAAATCATTTGCAAAGACATATCTTTATCAGCTAAACCTACCCCTCCCCTTTTCCCACCCCCTGTCAAGCGCAGCCCAGCTCTCATATTGTTCATCTCCATTGCAATTTGACTATCATATTTACACAATGGAACAGGTTATTCTTTCTCCTTTTGCTGTAAATGTTTGAAATAATGCATATTTACTCATAGAAACATTGAGCATTCTGTCTTTCCCTCCCAGCTTGGTAGTGACTTATATGGGCAAGAGTATCTGAACAACTTAAAGGCTTACGGTGTGAACTGTGGTAAGTGAAATCTAAAAGTAATTAATGTACGTATAGAGGTACCATCTTTGCTCATAAGGATATTTAAATTAACCTGGCACTCAACAGAAGGAGTGACTAAGAAACAGACCACCTCTGTATAAACAACAAATACCGAAGCTCTTTGACGGTTGTCCGAAAATACAGAGGAGCAAATGTAGGCATCTTATGTTGTAGGGAAATTAAAGCTCAAATTAAAAACAGTTGCTCAAAAACATATGCAACAAAGAATAGATAGCCATAGACTTTGCAGTGTAAAGGTAAGAGGAAGAATGGAAAGATGTTGAGACCATCATTTTAGAAGCAGCTGTTAGTGCAGGACAAAAGAAGCATGATAGAAAACCTTGGGTAAGTGATGATACATGGCTGTATATTCAGGAAAGAAAAGCCTTGAAGCTTAGGTATATGCAGTGCTAGAACAACGGAACAAGAAATCAGGGCTAAAGAAGTTTATAGCAAAAACGATAAACAAAAAAAAAATTGTGGAAGGTATGATAAGAGAGCATATGTTGATATATTAGTTAAAGAAGGAGAACAAGAGCTACCAGTAAAAATAGTAAAATAACTAGTCCACTTGAACCAATAAATCTTGATGAAAAGGCTAAAATTAGCATATTACCAATAAATGTAGGACAAATAAATGACATGGAAATCAGGGAGGCAATCAATTTATTAGCAAACAGTAAGGCAGCAGGTGATGATGTTATACATCCCAAGCCGATGATGTTCTTACAAATAAGCAGAAAAGGGATAGACAACGGATAGCCCGAGAGCTGCAGGCACTGTAGACAAAGTGACTTTCAATCGTAACTTTAATTTTGGGAATAGAAAATAATAACAGGGAGACAAATCTGGGGAAAAGGGTGGAAGGCTGAGAACACACACTTGTTTTTGGGCCAAAAATTATTGTTTTGATGATGTCTCTTGGTTACTCAACCCACTGGTCATCAGACAAAGAATGTGGTACAAACTGGCAAGCAACTTTTTTTCTTGCCAAAATCTTGCAATAAAATGTTTCAATTGGACTCTCCATCAACACCAGATTCATCTGCCATCATCCTCACAGTCAATAATAGACTAAATGGCTAAGACATATTGAGAGAATTAAGATGACAGAGAGGTAACAACTTTATACACAAAGGAGCTGAATGGTCATAGACCATGAGGCAGACCAAGAAGACGATGGAGACATCATTTCAAGACAGATTTACAAGCACTTGCTGTCACCAACTGTAAAGATAAGACAGACCAGAGAGATGAATAGAAACAGGTGATATCTGCAGCAGTGAACCTCAAATACTCAGAATGCGGAAGACGGAAAAGAAAAAGAGGATGAAGAAGCAGTAGCAGGTATACCTATGAAAATAATAAATATTATCAAGGCAATGTATGAAGGTTCAGAGTGTGCAGTGCGAACAGATGATGGTTGAAGTCATTGGTTTCAAGTTGATACTGGAGTGAAACAAGGATGCATTTCATCTCCTCTTTTATTCGACATAACCATTGACTGGGCAATGAAAAATGTTTGTTCTGGAAACACTGGCATTAACTGGGCAGAGAACACACAGTTGGAAGATGAGTTTTGCTGATGATTTCGTTTTGCTAATTAAAAACGTCAGTGACATGCAAAGAAAAACTGATGACTTGGTAAATATGGCATCAAAGAATGGGCTACAAATAAGTTATGAAAAGTCTAATATTTTGAAGTCACAAACAGCAGATCAGACAGATATAACACTAGAGACAAAAGTAACAGATCACTTTACTTGTTTAGATAGTAATTGAGACAGTGAAGGAAATACAAAGAAAGAAATTATAATACACATTGCCTGTTAGCAAGAATATAATCTGCAGGTGTCAGTATCCTTCCGACCCCTGAGTCTTCTAGGCTTGCAGTCCTGCTCATATACACGTTAATGAGTATAGGCAAAATAGCAGATCCATCTGGCAGTCTCGGGGCTAAAATATATGTTGCTCTGAGGTCCATGAACCCAGACTGAGAGCAGCTCAGTGAGAATACAGGACAGCTGCTATCCAGTTCACCACCCAGGAACTTACCCCCTTCTTCATTAGTGCGGCCATCAAAATATCATTTTTAACTCTTTTGTACACATCCTCAAGATCAAACACTTGGAGGATACAGTTTGATAAAGAGACTTGGTGCAGTACTGCAGTCTTTGCCCACAATGTTTACCAGGGATTTGAGACCAAAGTAGAGACATGTGTGGCTTAGAAGATGCCTTCAAAAAAGTACCATATGAGTATCTAATGCAGCTATTGCTTAAACTAGAATTCAATCATGTTCTGCTCTGCTGAATTGCTACAGCCCTGTTCCAGAGAAAGGTAATTATGAGTTATGTTTTGGGTTATCTTCATGGCACTCCAGATACGTCCATTGGTGCTCAGATTCTTCCTTCAACATATACATAAGCGTCCTGCGGTTGATGGTCCCAGTCCCATGTTGATTGACAAAACTTCTCGTGTGTTTGCAGTGCTTCTCGTGCCGATCTTAACTCTCAATTCTTGCACTCTTAGCAAAGATGTGGATGTGCTGCTTCCAAAATCTTTCAAACATCCTAACTCTCTAATGGTGTTAATAATGTCTGCATGATCCATGGGCCAGCCCTCTATAACTAAAGCAGAGCCGGTTAATCTGTCAGCTCTTTCATTGCCAACAACACCCACACAAGGATGAAGGTAACTCTACGCACAGTGTAGTTTTGCAATGACTCGATCCACTGTCTGCGTACAAAGCCCGCCGCTAGATATGGTAGTTGGTCCTCAGAACCACAAACAATATTTTCAGGCTTGCCGCAGGGATCACTGCTGTCATCAGTCTTGTTCAACATGTATACAGTGATAGTCACTGAACAGCAACTGGATGGAAAAGGGAAGGACTTTGTCATTTGCTGATGATATTTTGATATATCTACAAGGACACAACAGACAGGAGATTGCCATCATATTAGACAACAAACCCGATTGAATTTCTGCCTGGTGTGATGGTTCCAATGCCTATGTTAATCCTTTGAAGGCATTGGTGACATGGTCCTTCTTTGAGCTACACAGATTAAACAACTTGAAAAGATGCAAAATGAAGCTATGGGCATTATTTTGGGATGTACAAGAGACACTTTATGTGTAGCAATGAGATATCTACTTCATTTTGCAACCATGAACCAAAGGATCAGGATACACCTCAAATATGCACTAAGAAACACCCAAGCATTTTTCAGTGATGGGAAATCATCCCTAGGTATGCAGCTAAATATGCAGCCTAACTGACATCACCCTAGTGCAGAATGGGTACCTATGCCTCATGCATTTATTTTTTCATTTTCCTGCATTGCCATGCTCAACAGGCCATGCACAATCCTGTTGCTCTCAGTGCAGAGGTAAATGCTCTCATAAGTAAAAATTCAGACGAGGCAGATGTACTGATCTACACAGATGGATCCATTATATGCCAACAAAGAAGTGCTTGGGTGTTGACACCAAGTTCAGCGGGTTGAATAGTCCAAGAAGCCAAAGGTGCCTTCTCCAGGACAACCAACTGCATGACGATGGAGTTGATGGCAGTAACACAAGCGTTCGCATGGCTCAAAACACAAAGCTATACCTGCACATGTGTACTCAGTGATTCAGTGAGTATGATCTGGAGGGTTTAGGCATGTTCATTGGGAATGCAGGGGCTTGAGCCATTACAGAAGTTCACAGTGCATGGAGTCACCTTTATTTTTGTTCCAGGATATGCAGGCATAGATGGAAATGAAAGAGCTGATAGGTTGGCTGGATCCGCCATCCCTACTGATGGTCAACCTATGGATCATACGGAGATTATTAAAGCCCTATGAGAATTGGGAAGGATGAAGGACTTTAGGGGCAGTGAATCCACCTCACTTGCCAGAATGATAGACGGGAGTTAAAATCGGCATATAAAAAACGAAACACACACTAGGCACATCAGAGGACTTGTTAATCGACATAGAACTGGTACTATAGCGACTAGATTCTGGGGTTCATACTGAGGAGAGGATCTGAGCACCTATGGACATGTTCGACATACAGTGATAATAACCCAACTAACCTGTGGTCAATCAAGACAGTCCACTTTGCATCGAGAACCGATGATTTTGAGACTAATGCCAAGTCAGTAGCTGTGTTCCATTCTAGTCAGCCTCCCATCATTTTGGCATCTGCAAGGGCAGTTTCCTTTTGGTTTTCTCCGCTATTGCCCCAGTCTCTGTTCCTCACATTAAAGTCCCCACATATGAGAAGCCTATCGTTGTGCGGTGATTTCTTTCACAGCTGTGAGGTAAGGTTAAGTTTAACATGATGTGTATCAGGAGATACTCCGTACTTTACTCGGGCACCAGTCCTTCACTGTTCTGGAACGGAACCTCATGCAAGACTCCTGCTGCACGTCCTCTTCATGCGCCATGGATAATGTCATAAATGAGCATTAACAGAGCTTTCTGGGGTTCTCGGAGTTGGCGGCCCCCAGAGTTGCAGTGTCCTTATGGCTCTCATCAGCCCACTCCCCTAATGCATGGGTGAAAAAGTTTATCAAAACTCATTACTAACATGAGTAAAGTCTACTTGCCAAATGTACAACTTAAATGACAAGCCTCTGTTAAAAGTTTGTGGAGTTAAGAGAACATTTTGCTGCTGAGACTCAACCCTTGACCAAGAGATTTACCCACAGCTGGGACGAGTAACATGTCCTGTGGGTGGCCTCTCGCAGCAAGATTCTACCCATGTACATCCTCTGTCAACCTTTAGTGTCGTTGTCACCGCCCTGAGGTACACCATGAAAATCAGGCAACACAAAACAATGACCACAGTCATCCTAGAAATAGGCTTGATGTCTTCCCGCGAGGCAGGGAACAGCAAAACAGTTGTACACGCAAAACTTAGGTCCAGGTCAAAGCCAAAATCCAAGCGGACGATTAACGGGACCTTCCGCCCGAATTCGCAGCCGGGGAACGAAGAAGAAGTAAAAACCAGAGGAGCCTATCACCTGGTAATTTCTCCAGTTCTTTGAGTCAGTCCCAATGTTCTCTTCTGAAAAAACTATCTACCATAGCATATATTTTTATGAGGTTAGAACACATTGGAGGAATAGACTGAAAGCCCTATGTGACAAATAATGGCACACCAGGACAATGAATAAATAAAACATTTATAGTTATCTGAAGGTTTACAATCAATACAGGGTGAGGCAGAGATATGTGCTGACTTCTCTTTTATTGAATATTTACATAGAACAACTACCAACGCAGGCAGTTCACATGCCTGATGTTCATTTCTGTAAGGCTGTTCTTAATGTCATTACTCCATATTTTCCTAGGTCTTTCACTCGCTCTCTACCCGTTGTAATGTTTTTGTGTGGCTCGCTGTGGTAGATAATACCACGGAATTCTTGTTAGGTGTTCAAACAACTTCATTTGTTGTTCTTTGATGACCTGTAAGATTGGCTTTATTCCTAGCATTCGTCTTATTTCGTGATTTCGTATTCTGTCTTTCCTTGAAACTCCTGCAGCTCTTCTAAGGCATTTTATCTCTGTTGTCAAAATTTTATGTTCATTGGAGGATGTAAGTGTCCATGTTTGGCATTGATAGCATAGTGTTGGCCAAAAAATAGTTCTTATAAGATTCACTTTAATACTCCGAGGTATCTGCTTGTGTTTCAACAGGGGAGATAGTTGCCCCAATACTTGATTAGCTTTGGCACATCTCTAGCTAATTTCTGTGTCCAGTTTTCCGTTGGATGTAAAAATTGCTCCCAAATACTTAAATTCCTCTGTTTGTCTTAAGGTGTTGTTTTTTAATTTTATTTCTAAATTGTCTTTCTGTCTTCCTATTTCCATTGTCTCTGTCTTTGTAGTGTTTATTTTCATATTATATTCCTCTTTGTTACTAATTTGATTTAGGTAGTTCTGTAGGCATTCCGTACTTTCTGCTATGAGTAACTGGTCATCGGCGAATAGTAATTCTGTAATATCTTCTTTATGATTAAAGTTCGTTTTGTTACAGAAGTGGAAATTTGTGATGGTGATGTTATTTCAATAAAATGGATTATTTTTAGTGGTTTTTGTTTGTTTGCTTAGTATTTTAGTCCAAACTTTTAAAATGAATTTTATGTTATGTAAAATTACAGATTACATGGGCATAGAGGATGGTGAATCTACAGGTGTTGCTGCAATATCTGTTGCTGATAATGGTAAGTATTGGTGTAAAGTAAAGTAAAGGACCCTTTTTGATGCCTTTAGGCATATTGAGCATAGGCCTATATTTTGTACACAAACTGGCATTTTGCCTGTGTGAGCAAAGAATAGTGACACTGCACCCTACCAGACATGTCGTAAGAGGCGACTAAGGGAATGGTTGGGCTTGAGGTTGGCTACCTCATCCTGTAAAAACAATAGCCACAAAAACTAACCAATCATGGATCAGTCAAAAAGAGAAGCAAGTAAAACCTAGCCAGCCACGGTGTGGAAAAGCCGAAAGGAGTCTGGATCATTGACATATCTCCTCTCACCTAGGAAAACCTCCAGAATTTACACCTGGAATGTTAAAACTTTCTATGATATAGGAGAAACAATGGAAGTAGTAAGAGAATTGAAACATTATAGAATTAGTATTTTAGGGTTATGTGAAACTAGATGAACTGGGGCAGGGAAAAGTACTCTAAATTCAGGGGAAACTATTTTGTTCTCAGGACACGCAGAGCAAAATTCGCCAGAATTATTCACACATTTTTGTGCAGGAAACCAGTATATTATTGGTAGAAGTATTTTTCCCTATAAAAGGATAAGGATAAAAATACAGAAGCCAATAAGGAAGTTAGGAGGCGTATACGGGCAGATAAAGTGAAATATTTAAATGATCTAGCACAAGAAGCGGAGACAGCAGCAGCAAAAGACATTAATTATTCCTTACGTCCTTCTTAGGACGTTATTTTTTGTTATTTGAAGCCCCACTCTGGCTTTTGCCAGGGGCCGCAATATAGGCAGGTCATCATTATGGCCAAATGTCTGAACGCGGTTTCTGGGACCTCTCCACGGTGATCCTCATCCTCATGGTGGCACTTTGTGTCATCGGGTGTTTGTCGCTTGTGTGATGTCCTGGTGGGGTAAAAAAGCCAAGCCAACAGTAACATACATAAAATTAGTAGGTAAATATAGTCAGCCAAATGGATCAATCAAAAATAATCAAGGAAAGGTACTTACTAACACTAAAGATCAAATGGACAGATGGGCTGAATATTTTGAAGTACTTCTAAATAGACCAGGCCCAGAGGTTCCTCCTGATATCCAGCCTTTAAAAATGGAACTGGATATCAACTGTGAGATACCATCTAAAGAGGAAATTAGAATATCAATCTTCTCAAGGAAGGAAAAGTGGCAGGTCCAGATGGTATTTCAGCAGAAGCTGTTAGGGCCAACATAAACACATCAACAGAATTGCTACATAGATTATTAAGTAAAGTCTGGGAGACCAAAGAAATACCAACAGACTGGAGAGAAGGATATCTTGTGAAACTGCCCAAAAAAAGGTGAACTACAGGAGTGTGAAAACTAAAGAGGAATTATGTTGCTGTCGGTTCCTAGAAAAATATTAGGTAGAATTTTTTTTGGAAAGATTAAAAGATGCTATTGATAAAAAGCTTAGAGATAAATAGGCAGGTTTTCGGTCAAACAGATCCTGTACTGACCAGATAGCCACATTACATATAATAATAGAGCAAAGCATTGAATTTAACTCACCACTTTACATTGGATTCATAGACTATGAAAAAGCATTTGACAGCATTGATAGGGAATCTCTCGAAATTAATGGGGCACTATGGAAACTCACAGAAAATTATTAACTTAATAAAGGCAACATATAAAGACATGAAATGTCAAGTTCTTCATGCGGGAAAGCTAAGAGATACATTTGAAATAAAAACAGGTGTGTGACAGGGATGTCTTTTGTCGCCTCTCCTTTTTTTACTGGCTTTAGACTGGATTATGAAGACAGTAACTGCTAATACCAAGAATGGAATTTAGTGGACCCCTACATAACAGCTTGAGGATCTGGACTTCGCTGATGATATTTCTCTTCTGTCCCATTTACAGAATCAGATGCAAGACATATTAATTATACTTAATGCAAGATCACTGCAGCTAGGTAATTAAGGCAATTACTAATAATCTATTTATGATTGGCACCTTTCCGTCTTTCCAGACGATAGTCTTATATTGCGCTATGAGGCATGGGACTCACAACCCATGGCGATGGAGAGTGTGACTAGCAAGACCCGCCCGTGTCAAGAAAAGTCTTCCACAATGATAGCATGGGATTTCAGGACCATTGTTGTCAACATTTGTGTTTAATTCATTTCTTTTCAGACGCTCAGCTCTCATCCTTTCTGCAATCTTTTCTTCCTTCACTCTTATTTCCTTCCTGATATGCACTTTCCATACAACATGGTCCATGGTATTTTGTTCCCATTAGTCCACCTCAGTACCTGTATCATTCATGTCCTGCTTGCACACATCTTTCTATCGTAGTAGAAGTCGGCCTGGACATCTTCTACCTGTCTTTAATTCACCAAAAAAAATGTCCTTACGGACTCTGCCATCCTCCATTCTCCAGGTGTGACCCAGCCACCTGAGCCTTCGTAGACTAAGCATGGAAAAGACTGTTGTAGTACCTGCTCTTGTCATTACCTCTGTTTGTGATATTGTCCTGCCACTTAATGCCAAATATTCTTCTTAGGCATCACATGTGAGAGCTATTTAGTCGTCCCTCCTGGTGCAAATAGGTTGACCAAGTTTCACTGTCATAAAGCAGAGTGCTGAGAACATAAGCCTGATAGACAAGGTTTTTTGATTTAATTGTGAGCTTTCAACTCTCTTTGTCTATCTGCTCATTGTTGTTGCCTTACCTATCCTGATGTTGATTTCTTTGTCCAGCGATAGTTTGCTATTCACTGTGGAACCCAGATAGGTGAAATGGTCCACTGTCTCTAGCTCTCCACCGTCAATGTAGAGACTGTAGGTCTATCATTAACACCTTGCACCATAACCTTTGTCTTCTTTTTGCTGACTGTTAGTCCAAATTCGCAGCATGCATCAACAAAGGCAGATAGTAAACATTAGAGTTTCTCCTTTGAGTGGGTGGTTATTGTGGCATCATCTGCACACAGCGGCTCTCAAGTACCTTTCTTATCCTGGTTTTGACCTTTAGCCTTCGAGCATTATAAAGGCTGCCGTCAGATCCAGAATGAATGAATAAACCACCCTCCTGATCTAGAAAGGCATGTGTCAAAAGAAGTGAGAAGTATATTCCAAAGAGGGTAGGAGCAAGTACACACCCCTGCTTCATACCATTTTTTATTACAAATTACTCCGGTGTTGCACCCTCAGAGTTGATTGTATCTTTTGTACCTATGTGGAAAGACTCAATAATGCTCAGTAGAGTAGGTGGACATCCAATCTTCTTCAGTGCATTGAACAGACTTTTTCGACTAACCAAATCAAATGCCTTGGTACGATCAATAAAAGCAACATACAGTGGGTAATTTTGTTCACGGCATTTTTCCAGCAACTGTCGTAATGAAAATATCATATCAGTGGTAGATCGGTTCCCACAAAAGCCACACTGGGACTCTGGGTAAACGCTGTCTCCCAGAAACTGGAGTCTTTGCAGAACAATTATCGCAAGTACTTTTCCAACATTACACAGCAGTGATATTTCCCTGTAGTTATTGTAGTCACTCTGATCACCCTTATTCTTGTATAGTTATGTTGCTTGAGTCTTTGAAGTCTTGCGGAACCTGACCCCCTTGCCAGCAGAGTGTTATTAGCTGATGAATGTGTGGGGTTAGAATGTCTTTCCCACTCCTGATGATCTCAGTAGGAATTACATCTCTGCCTTGGGCGTTCCCTGAAGCCAATTCATCCATAGCATTCTTAACTTATACAACTGTTGAAAATGTGTCCAGATAGTCAAGAGTTGGTAGCGTCTTCATGGCATTAAGAGCACCATCTGTTAGTTTAGTATCAACTGAATAAAGCTCCAGTTAATGTTCCACCCATCTATCTAGATGCTTCTTCTTGTCATTAATAATCTCCCCATTCAAACTCTTTAGTGGTGCACTTTTTTAAAATAGTAGGACCGATGGCCTTCTTGATTCCCTCATACATGCCTCTAACATTACCACTACTGCTAGCATTTTGAATGCTTTTACATAACAGGATCCAGTAGTTTTGGCACACTGCCTAGCTACCTTTTGCAAATGATTTCTAGCTGCTCTTAATTCAATGAGAGTGTTCCTTATTTTTCTCTAATTGTTTCTGAGAAGTAATACCTTTTTAATGTCAATTAAAGGTTGGAGTGTCTGGCTATTTGCTTCAAATGAGTCCATACTTCTATATTCTCTAATCCCATAGACTGATACAGCTGTTTTGTAGACAGGCTTGATGTAGAGTTATCTTGGATATCAGTGAAAAAATCCCCCGTGTGGGTTCCGGGGCCCCATTGTGGGGAAAACAAGAATAGACCCACTGCCTCCCCAAAAACAAGTCGTAAGAGTCGACTAATTGGGGAGCTTCCTTTGAAGTCGGAGTGCATCTGCCGGAGAGGCAAGGAACCAACAGTCTGTATTCAAGAGAATGAGATCTGTAAAACTGATGCACACTCAACACTCAGGTTCTGGAGCAGGACTGCAGTTCAGTAGTGGACGATCAACCAGAACTTTCCGCCAGAGTGTACAGCTGGTGAACGCAAAGAAGACGAAGAAAAAGAAGTGAAAAAATCTTCAAGCTGGTGTTGAAACTCAAAACACTTTTCAGGGTCTTTAGTTTTGGAAATATTTAACCTAGGGATATATTTGTTTTTTAAAGTAGAAATTCTCGTTGGTTTCATCCGAACTCTCGCAGCAACTAGGGAATGGTCAGATCACAGTCAGCACTGTGGTAGCTGCGAGTTAGTGATACACTGTTTAAGTGCTGCCTCCTTCTGAGAATAAGGTCCAGCTGGTGCCAGTGGCCAGATCTTGGATGTTTCCATGACACCTTATAGCGGTCTTTTGTTTTGAAAAAGGAGTTTTTTATGTACAAGTCACTTCTGGTGCAGAATTCCAGTAGTCTCTGCCCATTTTCATTCATTTGGCTAACATTATATTTTAAAAGAGAGACTGGCCATGAGTTTGAGTCTGACCCAACGCGAGCA